TGGCGGTCCCTGGAGCGAGGCGGGCGCGTGTGCTTCCTCTTCCCTGTGAGGAGGGGAGAAAGCCGAGGGCCGGGTGGCGGCAGGACCAGCCTTCTGGAAGCGGTTTGCTGGAACACCACTCCCTGTTCTACCTGTGCTTGCGGGACGATCTGTCTCACTGTTTATAGCTTTTATTATGCGGTTTATTTAAATGCTTCAATTTAAAATTTGTCCTGACAAAGCAAAAGCTGGTCTGGTCATATTGTGAAGTGATAGAACCTTGGGGGTTTTTTCCCTTTTAAGTCTAAACTTGCATAGATAACTTGAGGGAATGGACGAGATGAAAAATTTGTGATCCTTTTAGTCTTCATGTTTATTAGTTAAATATTTTGCCACTCTGTTATAACGTGACTTAAATGTCTCAAGGAATGATTCATTAACCTGTTTGAATTATTTGAACAAAGGTAAAGACTGAAGCAGTTTTCTCAAGATAACAAATCCTGATAAGAGGTAATGAAACTTAATTTTTAAAAGTGTGAGAAAGATCATGTATTATTTGGACATTCCTCTTGACAATGTACAGGTTCATTTTGATGATGGATAAACAAGCAACTGCTAGATCATCTACCATTTTCCCCTCGGATGCTGTTAAAGGACATATGAAGAAGAAGGATAGAACATTACAAGCTGCAAAATGGAATGCTTCTTTAGCATCTAAAATCAAAACTAAATTAATAAGTAAGTCTTGTTAAAACTGAAGCCATTTACTGTACTTAGAATGTATGACTTCAAAAGGAATAGTAATTCTGTTTAATGTGATTTGCTGAATTGCCACCTGTTAAAAATATTAACGTGGTATGTTGAGAATTTTAGGAGTGTCTGCAAGTTAAAACACATGATTCTAAGTTGTTTATGTTATTCTCTGAGGAAGGATTTTTGGTGCTTGTTCTTTGGCATACCAGTGTTTTTTAAAGGAGTGTACTCAAGTGCATTTCTAGCATCCATGTCCATTTGAGGCATCTAAAAACTGAGGTACCGATTTATATAAAATTCTTCACTCAGCCATTTACTGAATCAAGGAAAATACAAATATTAATCTGCTGATTTAATCACTTGCTAGAAGGTACTTTGTTTTCCCAGTAAATCAGGATTAAAATTCAAACGTAGGTTTGTCACGGTAGATGGTTGGGGTTTGTTTCTGGCTCTGACAAAAAGAACACTATGGAACATTTCATATCCTCTTCTGCAAAAGGTAAGGAAACTATAAATTTAGTGAAACACCACTATTTCAGAGCTAATTCAAGCAGCATGGTTAAGTGAATGTTGACTACTACTTCTCCTCCTGTGATCCATGCCGCAAGAATTTTTGTTGTTTGCTTATGTGTATTTGAACTTACTGTGGCTTTATGTCAAAAATACTAATTTTCAGTGAAAAGTAAACAGTATAGATGAATAATACTAATGTCCTTTAGAAAAGTTCACACTGCACTAATATAAATAATTCACTAAGCTAAATAATAATTTCAAAGTATAACGTTTAGGTTAGCAAGGTTCCACTGTTGTTGCCTGTTTCTCAAAGCAAGGAAATAAGGCCTTGCAAATTTTGGGTTACAGATCACAGAAGTAGTAACAGAAGACAATGAAGAGGTGTAGTTGGGGCAGATTTCAAGCTAACCTTGCTCCTTTTTGTACTATAAAAGAGTATGGTCAGACTTGTCTCTACCTTGAGTTCAAGTTAACTCTATGTATACTATGAACGTGAGGCAAAAGCAATCATCTTGGTAATATGCAGTTGCACTAAAAAAAGTTCCTAAGACATTCCCTAACAGATATGAGTAGGCAGGTTTTCATTAGGACAGTGGAAGGTTTTCATTAGGAAGTGGAATTTAAAGCTTTTTTCTTTCTGTTGTCAAAACTTGCATTTATGCTTAAAATATTTGAATGTCTTCATTTGTAAAATGTATATTTGTTTTTTAGAAATCTGGAAACATGCCTGTGAAATCACCCATTCTTAAATGCTTTCTTCTTAAAATAACCTTATTCCAAAAAGTCCAGACTAGAGCAGAATTCCGTGCATGAAATAAACTTGAACATGAAGCTGACAGAGTAGTCATCAGAATGACAGCCAACGGAAACAGTTTTATATTAGAAAGTGTTAGGCTTTGCTATTGTTCCACCAAAACCTACAGATAATAATTTTGTTATATAGTGATAGTTCATGCAGAGAGGGCCTGAAATTGAAGCTGTTGAAAATAAATATGATTTTGTCTCCTTTAGATAACTCATCTATGTTTAAAGTATCTTTAAAACAAAACAATAAAGCATTAGCTGTGGCTTTGAGTACAGAGAAAGAAAATTCTCGGAAGCTAAAGAATGAGAAGATTTTTCTTCAGAAGGAAGTAGAAAAGCTGCAGCTTCATAATATCTTGCTTCGTCGAAAACTAAACTGTTTGGTATGCTGTAAATAATATCATTTAAACTTAGATCAGCTAAACCAAGCTTTTATCTTTTTTTGAAACTTAATATTCTGAAATTGGTGATTTAAAATATACATCTCAGATTTGTGAAGTTATATCATCTGATAGCATAGTATTCAGATTTGATTTTTCTTTCGTAGGATTTTTTTGTACTTACTATTTTGTCCATCAGTGTATATGTCTATCCATTGCTATTTTAGTGTCAGCTTCACCTTTATAGGTATTGAGATGGTAATACAATAAGTTTGTGCTCAACTGAGTGTTTAAAAAAAAAAGCAACATAGACTTGCCTTTATATCTTGTCTTTTCTTAAGCCAGAAGCCACTTAAAATATATTTTTATATTACTTTTTTTACATGCAGAATAAAACTCTTATAGAAATAGAAGCATTTTTGAATTATAACCTCTTAACTGCAATAGAAATAAGCAGTCTTTCTGAGGTAAGATGTTTTTTGAACTGTTACCATATTGAACTCATTTTCCAGGATAATATTTTCAAAGCATCTAAATCGGTGCAATGTTGAAATCATATATGCGTTTTAAAACATTTACCCCAATTCTTTAAAACCTGGGATGAAACCCAGTATAGTGAAATCAATTAAATTTTGCTGTTGCTTTCACTGAAAATTTAGGATTTAATCTTGTTTGTAAAATATCTAAAAGTTAAATATCAGTTAGCCCTGATGAAGTCATGTGGTTAAAAGCAAACCAGAAAAAGCATAAAACTTCAGTATGTGGTATTCTTCACCACTGAGCGAGCTATTTGCCTTCCTTGCTTAGTGCTGCAATAAATATCTTGCATGTGTAAACTTTACCAGAAAACATAGTCCATGTTAGTCCTTGTGCCACGGCAAAATCAGAGTTAATTTTTAAAAAAATATTATTTTAGTGTCTGTTCTAAACAGCTGCTTAGTTTTGCTCTGTGCTTCTATATGTATAATGCACTTTGCATTAGTTATATCAACGTTTAAAAAGTCTACACATTCCTTTGGGATACAAGTAGGTTACAGATTTTGATAAGTTTTGCTACAAAATATTTTTCTTTAAAATTATTGTGTGTGTTTGAATATCGTGCACCTTTTATCAGTACTTCTGGTTTTTTGCCCATTCATTATTTTTTTTCCTGTGGCTATTTGTGATACTTAAAACATTAGAGAATATTCAACTGTTTCTACTTCCCCACTGTTCTTCTTTTGAAAGAATCTTCAGAGTTCTCTTCCTCTGTCACCTGGTCCAAGTAGCTCTACTGATGACCAGTTCAGGAGTACATGTCAGTCAGCTAGGTAGGTGGCTATATTAAATGCAGAAATTGATAAGTGTCTGTGGATTTTTTATTTTTTTTTTACAGCTAATCTTTGTATATTGTCCTAGGTATTTTTGAGGTAGTAAGAAACAATTCCCCGTCTAACTCAGAAATTATCTATTTGCAACTTAGAATTTATATGTGGAGAGAGTGGTAGACAAAACTTGTGTTTGAATAGCTTGCTGCTTTCTTCATGGGATCTCACCAGCACAAAGCAGGATTCTCTATTACAAAAAATATATTTGCCCCTAAGATACAACCAGATTTCATAGTTGAGTTCTTGTTTTCTGCTTTTATACATTATTAAGGGAATGTTTTAAACAATTGAATGTTATGGCATAGAATTTAATAAAAATCTTCACAGTAACATTTCTTCTTTTTAGATATGTGGAATTGCCAGTGAAGCTTCCTTTAATCGCAACAGCTAATACAAAACAGCAAGATAGCCCTTCTGTGTGTGAAATACCAAATTCTTATAGGTGTACCACTGTTTTGTCAAAGGAAACGCATTCAGGTCAAATCAAGTTTGCATTGTCGTTGCCTTCTAGTACAAATAATCAGAAGTTAATTGAAAATGACCCAGTGGAAACGACCGTTGACGGAAATATATTTTTAAAAGGTATAATGTGTTTCTGTACAGGTGATTTATTTTTCAGAGCTATCTGAGAATTAGTATTTAATAATTCATTGCTTGATAAACTAATGAAAAATAGCATGCTCACCCATAAGTATAGGTGTCCTGACAATCACTTGTAAAATAAAGTTCATTGAAATAACACAGCTGAAATGTAACAAAATTAATGTGAACAGAATAAAACTTTGATAAGATAACCAAATAATAACTGAAGTAGTTACAGAAAAATAAATTTTTACTTATACTCAATTTCAAAAGTCCAACTTTGTAAAATATTAAGTTAGTTCTAGTTAACTAAATTTTTAAGGACCAAGCACAGAATATGCAGTGTGTAATTTTCCACGCTTCTGGTCCAACCTTCAGTAATCTGTCTTACTCCGATAACTATATTCTTTCTTTCCCCAAGCTGCTGAAATTTTTCTCTTTGCAGAAAATCAGTTATGCACAGAACTAAGTTGCAGTAGTGCTTTCCTGACTCGTGTCAAGAATACACAATCTTTAAGACAATCTGAGGAGCTTACAAAACAATATAATGATAGTTCATTGCCATTCCGTGGAAATGTGACAGAAAGAAAGAAACATGCAGTACTTTATAAGTCAAAACCTCAACCTAATATAAATGATTTTGATAAAAAATGTAGCTCAAGTAATCTGCCTCATGGTATCAACAGCAGCAGCAACCCCGATGACATGAATTTGCAGGAAAGTTCAAGTGACTTGTCTTGCATTATTCTTTCACCTCTTAAATTTAGCAATGAAAGTAAGATAGATTTTAAGAAGCTGCATTTTACTGACAAGATGAAGCCCGAAGAAACTGTTTATGATGCTGATATGGAGTTGACTGCCAGTGATGCAGGTGAACTACTCGCAGTTACATCGAAAGACAAAGATAAATTGCACAGAAATAGAAATAGTAATGCCAATTCTGATAAAATGTTCTCAAATTTCAGAAAAGTAAAATATTCTAAGAAGGATAAAGAGAAAATTAAAAGCAAGACCGAAGGCAATTCAAGTTTGTATACAGAAGACAGGAACACTAGGGCTGACAGTAGTGAAGTTGCAAAAACTACTGACTCACAAACTCAACTATTCCAAAGTCAGACAGAACAGCTACCTACAGGAAATTCTGTAGGGCAACAGAGTTTGCTACATACCAGCAAATACCATCAAGCAGAAAATTCTCTAAGTAAAGCTAAAGATTCTAGCAGGACATACCAGGTTAACTTAATGAGTCCAAGAAAAGGGGAGACAAATAAAGAAACTTTCTCAGAAATGTTTAAAGACCTGGAGAGCAAAATACAAAAAGCAGACTCAAACTCATCTATCAATAAGATCCCACCAGAAGTTCATTGTGCTGAAAATTTACCATTGCAGGATAACGCTTCTAATGTATTGCCTTTACAGTGGGACTTTCTGCATACAAATGAGAAACATAGCAGACCAAAAATAAACAGGAAAGCTTTTCAAAACCCTTCTAAAATTGGCACAGCAAAATACTGTAGAGAGGAAAATGGGCAGTTTGGAGAATACATTTCAAAAAAGTCTCAAACAGAGATAAGCCAACATGACAGCAAGAGAAAACAAGACCAGAAGAATATTATAAAGAGAAAATACAACAAAAAAAGTAGTTACAAACAAAGTGGAGAAACTGAAAGTGACAGCATTCATAAAATTACTCAGAAAGTAGACCAAAAGAGAAGCCATTTTTCGCCAGGCAGATTAAAATGTTCATTGGCAAAGGCTAGCCGGAAAGCATATATAATACCAACAGAAAATCTTACACAGTTCTCACTTTGTAAAAATGAAGAACTGAAAAATAAGGATGCATTGCATACAGAGGCTGTTCGTGGAAATAGAGTAACTGAAACTCAGCAAATGGAAGTAGCTTTAGTTACTCAGGATGCTGTAGCTATGAATAGACCACAAGCTAAAGAACAAGTTGATGATGATGCTAATATGTTAAAGGAAGTAGATTCCTCATCAGTGGCACATGAAAACTCTCACATTAGTAGTTTTCCTGATAATCAGGTAAAGCACAAACAGAGGTTTAATTCTGATATTACTGAGACCAGACCAGAAAAAAAATATTTCAGGCATATTGATCAGGAGGAGCAGAATATTTTGGATGACCAGGAAGTCCCTCATGAGATAGATTCCTCTATGAGCAAGTTAAAGTCTACAGTTCAAAAATCAGAATTTTTAAAATTCCTACCTGTTGAATGTTCTAAGAATATGCCATTAAATGTGGATAGCTTTTTCCAGGAAGGTCTTTCCAATGTAGAGCTCCCAGCTCTTGATAACCACAGTGCTTCTGTGAACTTTTCTGTATGGAAAAAGTCTGAAATCTGTGGAGAAAATTATCCTAATAAAGCACTGGATGCTGGAAAAGCAGAACAGAAACTGGATCATATTTCTAAAGAGACTTACAAAAACACTCTGACACCTTGTCGTGGTAAGTGTATGGGTGAGAGAAAAAAAAATGGCATTTTGAATTAGGTAGTGCCTGAAATAGTGGTAAGTTATCTTCTCTTAGTACGATCCTACTCTGTTTGCTTAGAGTGGATAAAACAGGAGTGGAAAAAGGTAAGACTGAAAATCACTAAAATTATTCATATTTGATGTCATATATCAGTCACAATGTATTTTTAAATTGTAGTACCTAATATCCTTGTTACTTTTCAGTATATTCCAAGATGAGATTTATTTGGGCAGATGTACGTGGTCTGCATTCTTGAGGAGCAGTTATAGTTGGAGCCTGTATTCGTTTTTCAAAGAACGTGATGGAATTCAGAAAGTTGGGGATAGAAAAGATGGAATAGCTTGAGCTTTTATACAAGGGAAATAAGAGTGAACTACACTGTTCCCTTCATAAATGGAGATCATAGCTGGACTTAAAGATTTAATTTGTGTTTCTTTAGAAACACTAATTCAATAGGAATTCTGAGATCTAAACCAACTACTTGGAGGAGGTTTTCTCTAGAATCTACCCATGAGCAAACTTTCATGTGGCAACCTCTTTTTTAAGTAAGATATACTAAGTTAAGAAAGTAATCAAATTATAGTGTAGTCTGGAAGATAGGTTTAGATTCTTCTATCACACAGTGAAATTACTATAAAGGAGCTAAAGGATATATTGACTAACCCATCTATGCTAGAGTTTAAATATGCTTTAAAATGTAGCTTTGAAGTTTCCTAGGATGAGGGATCTATTTTGTAAACATATTTATTCTCTACAAGTTCCAGTTTACTTATTGTCTCTGAGAATGTCCCGACACCTAGACAGTTTCCTAGCTCAAATTAATAGTTTGAATCCCAAACTATCAAGCAGATACTACTACCTTGGCTTCATTTGAATGCAAGGACACAATGGCAAAAAAAAATCTAAATCTCCTATTTTACATGACCACAGAATAGGAATACTGGCAGAATTGGGCCACCATGTGAAGTATTAGTCCTGATAATTTGCAGTTGCATCTTCGATTCCTTCTTGGTAAGGTAGAAAAAGGATCCTATAATTCTGCTAGCTTTAATGATAAGTTAGTAAACCCTTGTGATCAGCAGTATCAAAGGCTACTGACATAAAAAGCAAGCTAATAGTTTGACCTTCATCCATGGAAGCATGGTTCAAAAACCAGTTAATTTTTCATCTTACATCCAAATCCCTATCTTGAATTAAAGCAAGGAAATGCCGTCCTTTCTGGTGATGCCAGCTCTTCTGATCACTACGTTGAGCTGTACTTAGAAATATACCTTGAAAGTCTCCTGTAATGACAGTCTCTGTATAGTTAAATCTATGTGAATTAAACATACTCGAAGGCATCCAGCTTTCCTAAATGCAGACTCATAGATGTCTCAAAACTCTTCCTCCTTAAAAAGAAACTGACCTGATCTATAACCTTAAGCTTTAGGAAAAACTCAGAATAACAGTTTACTTTCACTTTAAAACTAGTACAAATCAAGATTGGTTTGTGAAGTAGCCGAACCTGGGAGATTTTCATGGTCATAAAGCCCTCTCATTTAATCCAAATGTGCATTGCTCTTCCTTAATGAAGAATGTCCTTCCTTCAAAAGACAATGCTTTTTCTTTTGCCTCCATGAGTCAGGAGGGACTTGCTGCAAGCAGCCCAAAGTCATCTGAATATGTCTCTCATATTTAGAAGTAAAGCTAGCAGAAATCCAATGAAGAACCTTTGACTTTATGTCTCTGCTTAACGCATTTCAGAATACTATTGATAAAATGATCGCTCTTACCCACTGAGATATTTTACTTTATCTCAGCACAGAATTCTACTAAAGGGAAATAGTAATTTAGCACTATCAGCTTGACCATCAGTTAAGAGTATGTATGCTAGACTGTACAAGGCATTTAGATGCTATAATAAAATCTTCACTTTTTTGACAGGTATGTAAATATACAGGAATATAATTTATTAGTCTCAAGATAGGCACAACAAAAAATTCATTTATCCCATATGTGTATGAATTTCCTCTGTGAGATCAATAGCATCCATTTGCTGCCCCAGAGGATTTAAGGTAAAGCGTTCAAACTCAAGAAGTGAAGATAAGAGAGTTTTAAATTTAGTTCCTTTGAAAAACTACATGTTCTCATCTGGATGTAGTAAATCTAAAACTTAACTTACATCAGTGACAAATGTACACTCTTGGAAGAACTTCTAAGGAATACAGATTAAGACTATTTATTTCATCTTGGATTGCTGTCTGCATTAAATCTTAGTGCTTTTCAGAGAGACTATGATCTATAAACGGTTTAGAATGTTTTGAAATGTGGGTTAAATAATAATTCCAATATTTCTTCCAAACTATCAAAATATTTATCTTCGAATTAAGTATTGATTGTTTAGTCTGGCATTCTGAATTGGTCTGCAAGGATTACGGAAACCTAACACAAATAGTACTTCTTCTTCTAAGGCTCGTTACTTTTTATTATGGGATATGCCTCTTGGACATGTTCAGTGGTTCAAAATATGAGGCATTGTAAATAGTTTGGTAGTATACATTTTTGAAGATAAGGAGGCTTACCTTGCTATGCTCATTTTATGCACATATACTCAAAGAGCAGGCATAAAATTGGAAAATGCAGTTCTAGAGAACTCTTGTATAGATTGGATCTTCAGATTATACATGTGTGCCTTCCCCCTGCATTCAAGGTCCTGAACTGTGTGCAATTTTATTTTTTTTAACTGTAATAACTCTTGTGAGTCCTAAGCAGCTAGCTGCAAATGACAGTACTTACAGGGCTTTCTTAAAATGTCCAAAGAGCCATGGCAGACCTCAAACAGCTCCAAATTTGGGTAGCTTGAAAGCTGCTGTAATGGCATTTTCTTTGATCATCTATTCTGGTTTTTGCTGAGCATTGTTAGAGCAGGAGCAGTAACCAGTGTACCTGAATTAAGAAATACTGATTAAAAATAATTATTAATTTAAAATTTACTTAATGAGTCAGAAAAATATTCAAATTGAGGCATATAAACTACTGTATTCACAGGGAGAAAGGCTTTGCAAGATCTGACAAATAGTAGTCTATGCTCTCACACTTCCTTACCTAAATCCCCCAAAACTTTAGAAGAAAACTCAGCAGTACCATCTAGACGAGGAAGAGGCGCTATTTGCTACAAAGAACCCAAACTAAACAGGTAGGTATATGTAAATTAGGGCTTTTGTTTGGGTTTTTTTTGGAGTATGTAACTATCCCCAGTAAAGATTTGCTATTAAACCCCCAAATAAAGAGTTGAACTATCTCTTTCACAAATGTCTCTTGCAAAGATACTTCCATGTTGGTATCAAACATTTCCTGTCAGTGTGGCAAGATTTCCAAATGCCAAAGTAAGACACCAACAGTATTCAAGTCTCAAAATTTAAATATAACATATTAACATTTAAATATAACATAACATAAACTCATACCATAATAATGTCTTTGTAATATTGTCAAGTGGCATGATAATTTATGCACTAATATTATATAATTCAGTCATTTTGCTTTAACTAGCTGTATCTAAGAAATCATTTGAGTTTAAGATATATTAATTAAATAATTAGTTATTTCCTTCTCGGCGTTCTTGGCAAATTTAGTGGCACAGGATTTCCAAGAGTGTAAAAACACAAGACATAAATAGTGTAATAACTATTAAAATGTAAAAGGATTTTAACGCCAAACTTCCATTAAAAAAATAGTATTTTTGCACTTAACATGAATAGATCTGAATCCCAGTGGACCTTTAAGTTGATTACTTCTGAAAATATTCTGAGTTTTTTGCCACAAAGTTCATTGAGGTTTTTGTTGTTTTTTTTTTAAAAGTATAATATTAATTTAAGGAAAAATTATGCTGTGTTGTGTGTGTATTAGTAGAGTGCATATTCATGAGGTAAAGACAGTATCAAGATTTCCTCATAACAGTGCTGAGAGTGAAAGTATTATAGCAACTTACTTTATGACAGAGGTGTAAAAGGAGTAAGTCTTCCTTTTCTGGCAAAACTGTGGGAGGAGAAGAAAGGAAATCCACAAACTGAAAGAATTACCACAATGTTCTCATACACCCTCAAAATATTTTTATTTACCTGTGTAAGTAAGCAAACATTAATGGAAGCAATGAGACTGAGGACAAATAGGATCTAAAAGGAATGTAGGAAGTGTCTTTTCAATTTACCACTGGCTTTTCAGAAATATTTATGCCAGATAGCTTGTAAAAGAAATGCAAAGGGATTAGAGTTACATTTTTCTTTTACTAATTGAATTGGATGCTAAAATGCTTTAATACTGGGATATTGACACATTCTCCTCTTTTACCCCACAATGATAAGGCTCAGTGCTTCTGGAGAGAGACAGTAACGCACAACAAAAAAATGTGGCTATCACTCAAGATTTTAGATTACGGTCTCCTATTTATATGTTATTTTCAAGTATACTGTCCTGAATGGATGCTGTTAAGCTTTTGGTGTGAATAATTTTTGAGGTTTGTTTTATAGGAATAAGTTATGATTACTTACATATTAATGTGATACAGGCCACATAAAAAGACTACTACTTTTAGCATTATTTTAGAAAACAGTAGTGACCTATGCCTTGCTATTTCAGGCATTTATTTTCTATAAATTTAGTTTCTTTAGTGTATCAAGCTTTCACTGAGAGTATTTACCATTTGGAATTGTTACTATAATTGCATAATTACTATTGTTACATAGGTGCTTGGTGATATACATGATGTCTTTTATTTCTTTTGTTTACAGCAAATTAAGGCGTGGGGATCAGTTTACAGATACACAATTTCTGGATTCCCCAGTCTATAAAGTAAAAAATAAGAGAAGTTTTAAAAGTAAATCAAAATTTATTTGAAGACGACAAGAGAATTGCCTTTATGAACAATACTTCTAAAATGGGTACAATTTTTAATATATATATTTGTATGTTTAGCATCATAGAGTGCTTATTGTTCTTTGATTAGTAAAGGTCTTCCAAAGTGGAATTTCCTGGAAAGAAGCCCCAATATAAGGGACACAGAATACTTGACTGATGAAGGCAAAGACAGGTTAGGCTCCACTCTTGTGTTTTGCATTTCTGATCAGTAATTTATAATCTGTTCAAAGGGTTTGCAGCACTTCTTAATTTGTAAGAAAAGTGTACATTTTAATGAGAATTAAAAATAAATCACCTTTGGGAATTTTAATGTGAGTTGTTCATATTTACCATGAGTAGAACCATTTCTCAGTATTGGTTGGAACAGACACAAGCATCTCAAATTTTAATAAATACTGAAATCCCAAATTTTAATAAATACTGAAATAGATGGAGACAGTCCCTTTTTGATGACAGAATCATCCTGAAATCTGAATGAGGAAGTCTCGTTTTGAAGAATAGTAGAGAGAAGTCTAGTGTCTAGAGTACGTGCCAGAAGCAGCCAGAAAGAAAATAGCACTGCAATAGAAAATCAATAGTAAATAGGATCCAGACAAAGCAACACCTTGAGTTTCCAATTGAGAGTATGAATAGTACGACCACACCATACCATTCGGCTGTCAGGTCTTTGTACTGCTTCCCCTCTGGATTCTCATTAATCACTTCTGCATTCCATAATGCACCGTCAGCTGACAAACAGTTTTCTGGCATTATCTGAATCATAGATGCTGCCAGCTGCAGGCTGTAGTAGCTCACAGCCCACACAGCTTTTACAGATTACATTGGATAAGGTTCAGGTTCTTTTTGCAACCAAAGTAGCCATAGCTCTTTTTTAATGGGATACAAATAAGTTAAATTCTTTTGGTTTATAGAAGGTGTTTCTTCACATGGTATGCAGTTATGCTGAGGAAATCCTTACTGCAGGAGTAGATTTTATTGGTTTACATAGGCTTAAAATTTGAGCAAATTAATGGAAGAAAAATCTATGAGGAATTACCAGAAACACCATTTCTGGCACAGGATGTCCCTGAATTGCAAATTGTTGAAGGCTGGAAGAGTGTTCTGGAGAAGCCTTACTATGCATTTGACCAAATTTTATACCTTTTCCAAGGGCATTCACTATCGAAACCTTCAGAGACCAGTTCTTTGGTTAGCTAGACCTTTGGTCTGATCCTGCTTTTAAGAGGTATAACATACACTCTTTATATATACTCTTTATAATATATTCTTTAAAATACTAAACCAAACTGTACTCTTTGTACTTCATTGTAGCTTCCATTGTAATTTGGAATGGAGATGGAGAAAATAGTCCTGGAAACTTTCCATGCATATTAAAGACAAGAAGGTGATTGGGAGGTGTCAGTATTGATTTACAGAGGGGAAATCCTGCTTTAATAACCTGACAGACTTCTACAATGAGACTTGGTGACTTGGCTTGGTGACTGAGGGGAGAGCAGGAGATGATGTTTATCTCAACTTTAGTAAGGCTTTTAACATTATCTCTGATAACATCCCACAGACAAGCTGATGAAGTATGTGTTAGTTAAGCGCACGGTGAGGCGGGTTGAAAACTGGCCAGAGGGTTGTGATCAGTGGCATACAGTCCAGTTGGAGGCAAAACACTAGAGCTCCCTAGGGTTTCATACTGGGGCCAGTACTGTTTAACATCTTCATTAATGAGCGATATGATGGCACAGAGTGCAACCTACACAAGTTTGCAGTTGATACGAAACTAGGAGGAGTGGCTGAAACACTGGATAGTTATGTTGTCATTCAGAGGGACATGGACAGGCTGGAGAAATGGGCCAAGAAGAATCTCATGAAGTTCGGCAAGGGGAACCTACGTCCTTCTCCTGTGAGTTGCCAAAATTTCAGCTGCATATTTTGACAGAAAAATGAGTCATACATATCAAAATGTACTCCTTGATAGAGCTTTCAGATCTGTCCATTCTACATATAAGTCTTGAACTATAACCATAAACAGAAGCACAAAAGCATTATTTACAAATATTTAAGTAATACTAGAACTGTTTTCAGTTGTTTTTTTATGACAGTCTGTAGCCCCAAGGCAGTTTCCCCAAGAACCTGTAGAGCATTCCATGTATGAATTTGGAGTTAAATATGCCACTAGCAAGGTAGTTTACATGGGGGACCTGTATCCTCTGAACAGAGAGCTTGTCTAGCTGTGGTCACCAGTTCCATGCAAAGGTTGCAAATGTACAGCAATAAGGACAGCAAGATGCTTTCATATAGAACCTCACAGGAAAAAAAAAGTATTCCATCAATGTGAAAATTCTTCCAATATTAAATTTACCTTATCAACCAGGCAATTTGATCTAAGTTTCAGCAAACAGACTTTTTTTTTCTGAAACATACCATGTGTGTTACTGTATCAACAAGACTATTATGAAGAGGTGTAGAAATGGTTGGGAAAATAGATTCTATCCTGATTCAATGTTATTTATAAAAGATTACATTAAAAATATTTTAATACAGTCTTGTATTTTTTTTACCAAGTTTGTAATTAATTGGGGTTTTGTAAAATTGAAATATTCTTGCTAGCTTTCAGTGTTTATCAGCATCACCAGCTGTGTCATTAGAAATCTGAGAGAAGTATCTGTTACAACTTGTGTTCCCTGTGCTGGCACCGCAGCAGCAAAACACAGTTTTTTTAAAAATAGTTGTTTCTCTCTGTTGCCTGTGGTTTGAAAGCTAGAAACAGAAGCACATGCTTCATTTTCTCAGAAAAAGATAATATTTTTGGAGATGGTCTTAATTATTTTTTCAGTGAAGGTCCTGTTACTCCACACAGGCTCAGGGTTACCAGCTAGACTACTACAGTGTTCCAAATGAAAGTATAAGGCCTAGGGCTTTATGCCTTAGTTTCTTCCATTCCTTTCAGTATAGATACCTTTCAAAGTAACAAAGGATGAAGAAAATGATCTGAAGATGCGCAGAAGTTACTTTAAGTAACTCTGAAATCATATTATTGTTGCTACTGCCCTTCTTTCCTTGTTTTTTCCATCATTACTGTTTTTGTTGCTCAAATTTATGTTCTATACACAGAGAAAATTTACTTTGTTATTTGCTAGGATGCAGTTCTTGTTCTGCAAAATAGTTGCTTACTTTAGGTGCTGCATAAATAATGTTACATTACCTGTTGAATCTTCACTAAATGTGCTTCTTTTACCAGATCAGTTGATATATTAGAAGCTCTTGCCAGGAATGATAGTCAAGATAAAAATTAATCTGTAGCTGTCACAGGGATTAAGGTTCTTTTGCTGAGGATAAGGTAATTTGAACTTCTTTTTATAGCTTCAAAGTTGCTTTTTTCTCATGTTTATTCAATCTAAATTTTCTTACATTTAATATTTTAGGTTACCACTGAGAAAGATTTTGATTGTTTTAAAATTTGTAGGAAAATTAATACTATATACTTAGATTAAACAGGAACAGGAAAATATTTATGATTCTACCAACCTTTGCTTGCACAAGTAGCCCTTACAAATGCTTATAGTATCTGGAAGTTACTGCTGATTATTTTGTGAGTGCAAATTTATGCAAAATTGCCTTTCAGCTCATGATCACTACATTGCTGGATTTTATAACAATTTAAAATTACCTTTGGAGAGTTTATTGTTAGACCATAACAACAGTTCACATTGCTAACGTTGCCATTTTGCTCTGGAGGAACATGCATGTCCTTGGAGAAAGTGTGAGGTATGTTTTAGCGTGGGAATATACCTTAAAAGGATCCAGTAAATAAATTGTGTGGTTAGCTCTAAAGGTTAAGAACAACTGACTTGTGACTTTTGGGGGCACAGCAGCTCAGCTTCTGAAGGCGGTGCGCAGTGCTCCGCAGCGCCGTGCGCGGGTGCCCCG